GTGATAGAGACTCTGGATTTTCAACTCTAAAAGGCAAAAACAAAAACAAAACAAGCAAACCAACCAACCAACCAAAAAAATAAACACTTCCCAATTTCCCTTACAGGAGATATATCATTCAACGTGTCCCGAATTGCAATTCTTTGTTGTTCCCAACTAAACCCATTTTACTAGAGACATATCTGGCTGTCTATTTGTTAAAGGTCAACACTACAGGGAATTGCGCCAGTCTCAGATCTCTACCTCAGAGCTTAAGTCTCCTCATTTGTAAACAGTATGCCTTCTGTACTCTGCTCATTCCCACCTTATGATTCAACTAGAGCTCAGCTTACCACCAGCATGCTCTGCACAGCTGAAAAGCCATCCTGAAAACCTCTAAAGGTCAGTGGGAAAGTGATGGCCAGAACAGGCATAACAGCTATGTATTTGTTTCTATAAAATTCTTCCATGTATGTTTACTGTAGAGTAGCAGGAAGTTAAGGGACTTCTAAATCTACCTCCACTACAAACCATTCAAAGTACTAAGTAATTTTGGGTCCATTCCAAGGGTCAGTGCCTTAAAGCTTGTTTATCTTTCTATCTATCTATCTATCTATCTATCTACCTATCTATCTATCTATCATCTATCTATCTATTAATCATTTCCAAAGCCTCCTAAAAACATCAAAGCTGGTCTTTGAAAAATGTATAAAATTTCTAAAGCAATTTGTCTTTGAAATTTCCACTTCTGTCTGTGGCTTTTTGCAATCTTCTCTCCTCTTCCCCAGGTCCTATTTCTTTGACACTGGTACCTCCCATTTAAGATGGTAATTGATTACCATCTTAAGATTTGAGCTTAAGATTTGAGCTCTCCCAAGGGTCTGGATATTTTATTTTATTTATTTTATTTTTTTAGGTGAGGCAACCCTTGGTTGACCTCACAGATTGCAAAGACCTTGTTAGCTTACAATCCCTTATTTTTTATTTTTTACGCCTACAGCACCTGGTCTTCCTAGGTGGTCTCCTATCCAAGTACTAACCAGGCCTGACCCTGCTTAGCTTCCGAGATCAGACAGGATTGGGCTTGTTCAGGGTGGCATGGCTGTAGACAGGGTCTGGGTATTTTAGAAATAAATTTCTAACACTCTTCCTCATGATTCCTACTCAGAAACCTGAATGGCTTTAATTTCTAGATCTCTACTCTATTGAACCTTCACCAATAGGTCTGGTGCATATGGATTATTGTTATAAACCTAATTCTGTAAATTTTTTTTTACAGAATATTTTCTTTTTGAATAAGAAAATGAAGAATCATTTTTCTTGTCTGATTTTATCCTCAAGATAGAGACACTTGCCTATCCGGTAAATCACAAGTTACTTAGGTTTATATATTATTGTAACCAGGTGGAGCTTCCATTTTTAAGCTATACAATAGATTTTTGCTAAAATGTGCCTTAAAAACCTATTACTTCAAGAGCAAATGATTCTTTGAGGGCAACAAAAATACTGCTATGGCACAGGCCCCAAGTTCGTGGTAGTAAGAGTATTTTTGGATTAATTACATGCTAATACAGATTACTATCTCAAATGGATGCTGGGGCCACAATCTCTGTGGAGTTTTCACATTTCTCCATGTCTGTGTGGGCTTTCTCTGGGTACTCTGTGTTCTCCTACATCCTCCAAATGTGCATGTGTTGTGAACTGGCATGTCTACATTTTCCCAGTCTGAGTGAGTCTGGGTGTATAAGTGGCCCTGCTATGGAAGGGTGTCCTGTCTCGGGTGGGGTCCCACCTGGCACCCTCAGCTGCTGGAAGAGGCTCTGGCCCCGCTCAACCCTGAACTGGAGTAAGCATGTCGGGGTAAACACTGCAGCCTCAAGCCCCACAGCCAAGTATTCTCAGGGCAAATGGGAAATGGCTTAAAACTTATGAAGTGTTTATTTCTGGAATTTTCAACTTCGTATTTTTGAACCAGAGTTGATTGTAGGTAACTAACTGAAACCATGGAAAGCAAACTCACAGATAAGGTGGTATTACTGTCATTATGGCTTCTACTAGGCTTTTCCTGATGCCCATGAATTCATCCACATGTGTTTGTAGACTTGTAGTCTAAGTGGTAAAATTTAAAATATGTTCTAATTTTTCTTTAATGTTTTTAATCATTCCACTCATTTACAATTCATGATCCTGAAATAATACTTAGCTCATTAGAGTCAAATACAGTGAAACAAATAGCAAAAACGGACAATGGACTTTTTTTTTTTTTTTTTGCTGAGTCAGTGAAGGTACTAGATTCAGACAATTATAAATGACTTAAAATTATAATTTCAGAATGCTTTCCTTAAAATAATTTTGTGAAACTCATTCTAGTCACAAATTGCTTTCAAAGCCCTTCAGACTAATTCTATTGCCATTTTTACTACTGCACAACTGCAGAATTTAAAAGGCCAGGTTTCCATGTAGGCTTTCATTATCTCACTGAAGACAGCATAAGAATCTCTGCTGTGTCCTTCGGGTACAGCCTTGAGTCAAATAAAAGGTGGACTTAATTGCACTGAGAATGTCCAACAATCCTCTGGAAATCGAAAGGTGGGGAAAGGAATGATTTTGAGGGGACTCTTCATGAAGTTTTTCTCAAATTTGAATCCTCTATTTATTCTCTTAGACCCACTAGAATTTTCTCTTTCTTTCCCATTAAAAAAATTGTGATAAAATATACTTAACATAAAATTTACCATTTTGACCATTTTTAGTATATAGTTCGAGTGCATTAAAAACATTCCCATTGTCGTGCAGCCATCACCATCATCTGTCCCCAGAACTCTGTTCATCTTGCAAGTCTGAAACTATACCCATTATAAACTAATTCTCCATTCTCTCCTCCCCTCTGCCTCTGGCAACCACCATCTACTTTGTGTCTCTATGAATTTAATTACTTTGGGAACCATACAGTATTTGTCCTATTGTCGCTGGCTTATTTTTCTCAGCTTAATATCTTCAAGGTTCATCCATGGTGCAACACAAGTCAGAATTTCCTTCCTTTAAAGGCATAATAATATTCCATCGAATGTATTTTCAACATTTGTTTATCAGTTCATCTGTTGATGACACTTGTGTTGCTTCCACTTTTTGGCTATTGTGAATAATGCTGGCTATGAATGTGGTTGTAAAATATCTGTTTGAGTCCTTGTTTTCAATTCTTTTGAGTATGTATCCAGAAGTGGAATTGCTGGATCATACGGTAATTCTATTTTTAATTTTTTTGAAGAACTGCCATACTGTTTCCCATAGTAGCTGCTCCACTTTACATTCTTACTAGCAGTGTGCAAAGGTTATGGTTTCTCAACATTCTTGTCAACACTTGTTATTTTCTGTTTTTTGTTTGTTTGTTTGTTTATTTTCTAATAGTCATCATAATAGGTATAAAGTGATATCTCATTCTGGTTTGATTTGCATTTCTCTAATCATTAGTAATATTGAGCCTGTTTTCATGTAATTATTAACCATTTCTATATCGTCTTTAGAGAACTATCCAAGTTGTGCTCATTTCTTTTCTTTTCTTTTTTTCCTTTTAAAGGGGAGGTCAAAGCATTATTAAGAGACCCTACCAACCAAATCTGAGACATAACTCCATTGGCTACTTGACATTAAATTTCTTATGAATAAGCACTATGTTTACATTTACAAATTACATTGCAGTTACAGGGAAAATAATTTCTAATTTTTTAATTAAGAACTTTAAATGATTATTGCACATGAACTGTAATTCACATACAGAAAAAGGTGCATAATAGTGTAGTTTGGTGAAACTTCATAAATAGACACATGTGTAATCATTGCCAAGATCAACAGAAAATCTTACTAGCATCTTGGAAGCCCCTCTCCCAATTACTATCCCCTCTCTGTCAAGGTAACAATTATCCTAACTTCTAACAGACTATTTTTCCTTTTTTTTTTTTTTGCTTATAGACGTGAACTTAGTGTGCACTTTTGTGTCTAACTTTTTACGCTCAACATTACTTTTCTGCAGTTCATCTATGTTGTTACCTGTAGTTGCAGATCACTCTCACTTGCGTAGTATGCCATCACATAGACGCTGTGAACATTAATTTATTCTACTGTTGATGGTCTTTTGGGTTATTTCCACTTGGGAGCTATTAAAACAAACACAGCTGTGAACATTCTGATACCTGTTTGTTAGTGCACCATAAGCACGTACTTCTTCTGGCTGTATGAGCTGATGTGGAACTGCTGGGTCACAAGGTATGCTGCTTTAGCAGACAGTGCCAGATTGTTTTTTTGAGTTGTTCCAGTTTACATTCCAGTAGCAGGAAAGAAGATTTCATTTAGTCCATATTCTTGCCAACACTGGTATTTTCTTTTATTTTTTCCTAGTCTATCTTGGAATATAAAAACAACTGAAGCAAAGTTTAGATTGCCTTCGGAGGCAACCTTTGGTTTGGTTCTCTGCATTATTAACCATCTCAGACTTCTACTTTGTCCAGCCTCAAACATGTGAACCGTGAGTACATTTTCCCGTGAGTATATTTTCGACTTTGCTCGACTTTTTTGCTAACTCCGCCACTTGGATTCCATCCGGTCAAGAAAATAAGGTGTGTGTCCTAGGCAGAACAAGTCCTTTGAGTATTCTGGAAGTCCGAGCAATGTGTAGGCAAAATTATGCGGACCTTCTCGGGTCAATTGCTTTTTACTAGACCCCACGATCTAGGAACCTCCTGCTGGACTCCGGTCTCCCCACTGCACACCCCCGTTCCCCCGAAGGCACTGAGAACGCAGAGCAATAACCCTCTCCGCGACCAGCCAGAACAGGGGTGGAGCGGGGCGGAGGACCGGGTTCCCGCGGAGCATGCGCAGACCAGGCCTGGCGCATGCTCCGCAGGGCGGCGGGTCCACAGATGAGGGGAGTCGAGGCTCCGGCGCCCCATCGTCGCCAGCGGAGGTG